ACACGGAATTTTTAGCCGTAGATATGTCGGCAACTGGAATAACAGGATGGGTATAGGCTGGTGACGGTTAACAGACTACTGACTCAAAGAAGTAGAGCAACCCGCGCTTTGTTGTGAATTCCTTGTTGCTTATTCTAATATACGCGCGATTATTTCATGCCATTCGCATACAAATGGTCATGGACTTGTGATAACGTCCCGTGCTATTTAAAGAAAATCACTTTATGATGATGCCTGCTGTGATTGCTTGAGAAAAGTACACTTAACAACTAAGCGACGAGCGTTCGGCCCTGCCTCACGACCGCAGCTGGACTCAGCTGATTTGCCAGTCAGTGTCTGATCAAGCCCCGGAGATGCGTCTTTGTATGCGGAAACGGACCACCGAAGACCGGCTTTCGCTATCGCGATACGCCATTACGGAACGTTCTGGAGACAGCCGATCCCCGGAACGACGGACCGCGTCCACGGCCGTGTCGAGTGTCTTCCTCCCCCTTCGACCCGGCGGCTGGTGCCGGACCATGCCCGCCAGGCCTGGAAGTGAGGCCCGGCCGGGGCCAGATCCCCGGGACGACGGCCCGCGTCCACGGTCGTATTGAGTGTCTTCCTCCCCCTCGACCCGGCGGCTGGTGCCGGACCATGCCCGCCAGGCCCGGAAGTGAGGCCCGGTCGGGGCCAGATCCCCGGGACGACGGCCACGTGATCGGGGCGCCGCGCTGTCAGGCCAGCGGCGGAAGGATGAGCGTGGCCACATGGGTCTGGGCGTGTCCTGGACAGCGGACAGTCCGTAAATAGAGTAGTAAGATGTATGCCTTGTGTGGCATTGGAAGAACAGGCTCGCGGCCGATTTTCGGCGGGCTTATTTTATATAAGCAGAGCCGTCAGCGATAGGGCTGATGCCGCTCTGGTGAATTTGCGGGATCAGATTGGTGCGTGGGGTTAGTTCCGATTCAGGATATGAGCAGCACGGCAAGATTTTGGGCTTCTCCAGTTGCGGTTTGCACAAAATATTCATACATACATACATGAATACAAAAAATATGTATTCGGTATTTGCTATGGATTCTACCTAGATTCAGCGAAAACTCGGCCCATTCCGCTGTCGATTCCAAATCCATTCGCAGTCCTCCACCAATCAGTGGTCGAGCACGATGCTGACCTGGGTGATTTGTAATGCGAAACCGCGTAAACGGTGTCCGCGTGTGACAAAGCGCGTCTTGGATCCAATAACACGTGCCAGACGCAGTCGGACAACCCTCGCGTGTGCGATAGGCGCGGCGATAGCAGACAGAGAGCTGTGGGCTGTAATTATTTGAACAAAGGTGCTGCAAGTTATATCCTTCTTGGACATGTGATGAGGGATATCAATGTAACCTCTGTGCGCGGGGCTGCAAAAAACATTGTTTGCAAACGGACCAACCATGGACCTTGTCAGGGGTAGTAATCTTAATCGAGGAGATCGATAGCTTTGTAGTGATTCATAGCTTGGACAATCGTGTCCAAAACATCGTAAATAATGTAAACAATTGGGCGGGATATTCGATCACCATAAGCAGCACTCAACGCCAGTACGTTTCTTATGATTCTCACCAGGTTCCAGCCACAGTGCCGTGTTTTCATGATCGGTTTAGAGATGACGATATTGACTGCTTGCCGATCGCTTTCTGGTAAGCGTTTTGAGGACAGACAGATTTGAGATCTGTTGGCAGGTTGTGGCTGGTCCATTCACCTTAACTGTGCCGTTTGTCGCGCGTATTCGTCTGCTCTTGATTGATGAGATCTGACATGAGTCTTAAAAACGCCCCAAATCGGGTGGATACGTGGCTTGAGCCCGAAAACAGGTGGTAGTCTGCACAGCCTTTTAAGTTCAAGTAAGAGGGGCTTAATGCTAGGTTATCTGTCCCCGGCTTTGCTCGTAATGAGTCATTACCGCCCATGTTTCAACGGTAGTGCGTCACTGGGGTTGGCACTTTGCGGAATTAATGGGGAGTGGCGACGTTTGAGCTCGATAGATAGTGAAACAAACAGTCGTTAGCGTGGTGCACTTTCACACTAATCATCGTCTGTGAGGTACTTTTATTTATCGGCCCACCAACACATGGTAGACGTTGTATCGGCAATAGCGTTCAATATTGCGCACAAAACAGTTTCCCTCCAACCTCACGTGAAGGTAGCACTGTTGTGAATGAAAACTACACAATGTTCTTGTGGTTATCGGTCGTGTGCCCCACGTTTACTCTGGGCTTCCAAGGGTTCATTCATGCATGCAAACTACAGTTGGAAAACGTCTTTCAAATATGTCGAGGCCCATTTATGTAATCGATACTCTAGGATGTACTTAACAGGTGCGCACTTCTACCAAATTCAAGCTTCTAACAGCTGTTATTGTTAGCGCGGCGCGGTCACGATGGTATTGCGCGCCAGTATTTTTCCACATTGCGTATGTTAGCTCCGATTGTCGATTCGAAGTTTGCATGTGGATAGTATTGGTGCAGCCGGGACAGTTTGGGGTAGGAGCCTATGTACCCAGATGGTGCCCAGGACCAGGCATCGCAGGATTATTAGGGCGGGAGCGAACGGCGTCAGGCCAGTTAATGATAGTTATTGAATGCGTTTTCGTATCAGTATATGCGCAGTATTATTTGACTCTAGCTGAAGTAGCCGTGGATATTGTCATAAGGGGATAGGAAGCTTGGCTTTCCATGATTAATGCCGTTTTTAATGCCGATTTCGGTGGTAATTGCTTTTAAATGCTTTTTTCCCCCTGGAAATGGCTTCACCCGCACGAAGTAACGTTCCAGATTGTGGGGTGACGTCACGGCGGGATTTCTACAACGCCACTTGACGCGTTGCTGTACATCTCCAACACACGCAGCTCAACGCGTCTGGCGCCTAAAAACCAGACCTTTCTGGTTATCGCATTACTGAGATGCACTTTCCTGGGACCGTTGGGTACAGAAATACGTCATTTGCTCGTAAGTCGATGGTATGGTTAGTGGTTTGCTCTTAAATGAATGAAGTTAAGTGACTCGCAATGTAGTATTGCACAATAGACTTAATGCAGTATTGACCTGCGTTTACAATTATTAAGCGCTTCCGGCGTTCAACGCTATTACCAAGAGAGTGAATTTCATGAACCAGTGGCGTAGCTTTAGCAGTACTTGGATTATTTGCAGCTGAAAAACATGCAAACGGCTTCACTTCATTTTTTTTTTGGGGGGGGGGGTGTGGCACAATTCGTTTAAGCCCATTAGGTAGTGGACAGTCGTTTCGCGGGTCAAAAGGTTCCAACGTTGGTTCTCGCGTAACGTCGACTGATGTAGTCTACATACTAAAACATATAAATTGTTACGACATGAACGGCCACGTATGGCGCGCACGTCTTAAAACTCCCGTTGATGTTGTAATTCTGGGACTTCCATGAGCGTCCGGCAAAGGGCCCCACATGGCAAAGCGTTTGGCGGCCTGCATGACGACCTGCCATGTAGTCCGCCAAACGCTAGCTAATGCCTGCCTGTTCATTAGACCACTGTTCATGAACAGCGGCCGCGCGGCGTCGCCCCAGTGGAACCCAGCCGGGTCTGCCGCCGATTGTTGATGCTTGTGCCGGGGCCCGACATGCACCGCGCCGTCCTGGAATGTCTGCCGGTTACTGCCCGCTGCCGGCCCAGGGAGGCCCGGCGGCCGGGCAGCCGATGATGGAGCGGTCGGTCCAGATGTCGCTCGACACGGCGGTGGCTGTCGCGCCGCCGCCGGGCGCGGCCTGGTGCGACAGGCGCGACCCCAGCTCATTCGGCTGCTCGCGGCGGTGTTTTGCCGGCAGGAACCACAGCGGGTGATCAGCTCGAGAGCTTCCAGCCCTGGGCGGCGCTATAGATGGCGGTGAGGACTCTGATCCGACAGGTCCTG